CTTCTAAAACTCTTTATTTATATTATAAACCTGAGAACCCCTTTAAATTCTTGCGATCACTTTGTATGTTATCAAAAGGAAAGCAGTGCTTGGAATTTATAGCAGGGTTTTTTTAAGCTACTTTATAATCTCATGTCTATCTACTATTTAAGGATATATTCTTTAATAAAAAATAAGATAGCTCTCTAAAATCCCCATATGATCTGAAGACCATTCATCTTAGTTGAAATTCTTCTTTTACTTTCAGGAAACATTGTTTTCAGCTCATGCAGCTGAAACAGCGCTATTTTGGTCAAGTGGAATCTGAATAAATGTTCTCTAAATATATGAAGCCACAAGTAGTTTGTTTTGAGTTGGATTTTGTTTATTTTTTTTTCCTAAAATGGCTGTGACTGGGTTTCCATAACTATTGGATTGAATTTACTGACCATTGTAAAACTACAAAATTAAGGTTTTTTAGGAATAGTGATGGGATTTGTAACCCACATTATTGTTTGGTGCCCAAACCCTAACTGCTGAAAGTAGTATTCTGCATTCAAGTCATGGTAGATCCATTCCATGTTTCTAAATAAAATTGTTACAGCTGGAATTGCAGATGCTGAAAGAATAACTGCTCATGAACAAGCAATGTGACAGGAACTGTTCACAGATATTCTGTGGATAAACTTGCATTAATAAAGTTAAGAGACATCTTACTTTGCTTTAAAGATAGTTCATTTGGAAAACAGTGTCTTTGTTTAATTACTATTGATTTTTCCCAGCTAAAAATACATTTTCATTCTAACACAACTAATTTTTTTGTATCAATGTTTAACAAACCTCCTAAAAAAATCTCATTGTATTTTCTCATCCTCCAAGGAAATCCAGATTTCTCAGAGATCACTTGCTTGCTTCAAAAAATTATATTATGCCTGTGTTTTTTCACCTATGTATATATAAATTATGGTTTGATTGCTTTAATATAGTGACCTAATGGAAAAAAGACTTTAGCTGTTTACATCACTGTAAAAATTCTTTGGGAGTGGTTTTCTGCTCAAATGATTTTGAAACACCTGAGAAAGGAAATTATTACCTCTGCAGCACAGTTCATCACTTAGGTCTCCACAGTCATTGATTCCATCACAGGTTTTGTCCAGAGAAATGCACTTCTTGTTGACACAATGAAACTCACCATCTGAACAAGCTGTGCAGCATGATGAAAATGAAGTTAGTGTGGAAATGTCTGTAGCTTCATAATTGCCCAGGGAAATATTCTGCTTGCTCTTTTTGTCATATCAGCAGTTTGGCTTATCAACAGTGGGCATTCTGGGGCCCAGTAATGTAAATAGGAATCTTTCTTTATTGTGTTAATTGCCTTCTCATGAAGTGTTCAATGTGACCACTTATCTTCCTCCTCCAATATGCAGTAGCCTGGCAAAAGGGAACTTCATTTTTTCTAGACAAGGATTAAACCAGAAATGATTGGCTCAAACCCACTGTAAATGATTCAAGTGATTAAGATGATGGATGTTCCCCCTTTAGAAGGAAGTCATCAAGAGTCCTTGAACTCCTACCTTTGTGGCACAAGATAAAACCTGAGGCGATTTGTAGCTCTCCTTACCAGCAGCATCTCAGGCTCATGCTTATCAGTGCCAAAGCAAGCCTACTACAGAGACTAGAAAGCTGTCAGAAGTCAAGCCAAGGACTTGATCCCCCTTGTACCAGTGAGAAACTCGGGAGTCCTGAAACTCCCCAGAAGACACGAGCAGTTCCACTACAGTCATGTTTGTCTGGCTCCAGTGCTACTAGTGTCCTAATTGTTCTCCTTCATAAACAAAGTAGCAAGTAGGAGGAGTAACCCAGGAGAGGTAAGACTTCTGGGATACAATATGCCTCAGTATCCTTAGAGGACTGGAGGAACAAACAGAACCATGGATGAAATACATAGCTGTAAAAATACTTCAGGAACAATAGTGATTTTCCAAACTTATGAACTCGAAACCATCTTCACACAAGGCTGCCTCAGTTGTCTTAAAGTCTGCAAAAGGATGATTTAAAAAAAAAAAATAATCAAAGGGTTTCGGTGCAGGTTTGTTGTGGCTGGGAGTTCAGCAAACCAGGTCCTAGTTATTTAAACTTCAAATGTAAGAACTCCAAATAAATGTAAAACTGAAAAAAACTACTAACCTCTGAGATTTTTATGGCACTGGAGGCTAACCAATCCCTCATTACTATCTCTTGATTTCACCTCTATGTGACATTCAGCAAGACTTGTTTCTAGGCCCCTGCAAGTTATCCGAAGACAGCGCAATGAATTTAAAGCAGATTCTGTGATGCTGGAATTGGCTTGGTAATATTCAGCACCTCTATGAAGACATAAGCAATAATAACAAATTACATCATTTCACAATGGATTGTCCACTGCACATACTGAGGAAGCTCAGGCCACTGCAAGGCTGGGATTAATATATTTAATATCCCTTGTTTTTATGTGACTGGTATCCTCCTAATAGTGTCCATGTCCCCTACCTTCAAAAAGTATGTACTGAGTAAATAAGTAACTAGAGAGAATTACAATGGACTGAATGCTCTGTCCCAGGATAAACACTTCTCTGCTATCTAAAGAGATACTGATCAGGACTAGGAAATACTTGCTTCTCACTTATAGGGGACAATGAAGGCACTGCAATAGCATTTGTAGTCTTCAGGTAGGGTTGGAGAGGCAGCCCTACCTGACCACGTTAAATTAGTGCAAAAATATTATGTACAAGATACAGTTGACTATGAGGAGATGAAAGTGCAGCCCAGGTCATCAGTGTGGTTGCAGGAAAACCAACAGGCTCTGTGTGGCTTCAGCCTTCCCTGAGGACAAAGCAAGCAATGGCAATGGGGGCAAGGCATGAATGAAAAAATTGTGTTTTGATTCTCGTAAGTCTGGCTGGTGCAAGTGGCAAAGCAGAGCTGTACCCTGGTGTCAGCGAGCGTAAAAAACTTTTATATGCACACAGATCCTTACTCAGAGCTATTTGGGGATGGTCCATCTGCACACTTTCCATTACACAGACCTGAGAGGAAACCTCTGCATTGGTCTTCTGCTTTATTTAAAAATAAAACTATGGTCTGTATTGTTGTAATGGAATACAGGAATATGTGGTTTGGATTTCACTCTCAGGTCTCAATTTAAGAAGTTTTATCAGCTAATACATTGTTCATGAGTCTTCTGCCTTAACTGTTGGCTGACTGTGCCTGGCACTTATGTAAACATTGCTACTTTTTCAGATCCTTGCAGTTATCCAGAGATAAATTCCCCCAACTTACAATTCAAAGCCAAGGTGTTTGCAAGCCACGTTTGCTTCATTCATAGTCCACTCACTATCACATACGAAAAAGTCGTTCTTTTGATTCACAGGCTTTACTTGAAGCAAAGTTGAATCTCCATGGCCCAAAGAAATTGAAAATGTTTCTTAAAAAAAGAAATAAAAAATAAAGGAGAAATAAAACAATCCCCAAATAAACTCGTATGATGTAGATGTCTGTAGTGGAAAGACAGCCCAGAAACAAACCAGGACTAATTTGTATTGGCAACCAGTTTCATTTGGAGGGTAGGTTGGGAGTCAGAAGCTTCAGGTATTATTCTGAGGACTGACTTTGTGGCTTTGAGACTGCCACTTTTTCAAAGGGTACCGGTTCCTACCACGTAAGAGTACCTGGAGGTCTACTGAGGAAAGGTTGCATCTTAGTATAATGACTTTCATTAGAGGACTTTTGATAACCATTAACACTTCAAGTAAGATGGCCAGACCCTCTGTTACCTGTGTAGCAAAACGTAACAGTGGAAGCTAAGCTACTCAGCTTAACTTAGTGAAGCTGTATAGACAGCACACCAGGAACACACAAAGGCTCTCCAATCTTTTCAGTGGAATAGGCAGAATAAAGTTTTGCCACCCTGAGGGCAGTGGGCTGAGCTGCTGCTTCTGTGGGGAAAGGGAGTGATATGATAGTACCAGGGCAGAGACTGAGCAGGAGAACCCTGCGCTGGGCTTGCTGCTCCTGCTGTGCTCAGTGGCCTGGAGGACAGGTAGGAACAGCAACTGCTACTGCTAAGAGCCCACCTGCCTATTTAGCAGGAGCTGTTTCTCCCTGCACTTAGGAGTTTGATCTGACACAGCAGCCTGGTGCAGCTGAAAAAGCAAGTGAGAACAGCTGCTTGTCACTGCACAAACTATGGTTTGCAGGGCAACAGCTTTCTATTTTTATGAAATCCACAGCATGAAGATGATAGAGGTGAATATGGCTTGTCTTCTCTCCATGCACTCCCCCATTCATTTCAATAGCTTGACTCCGTGCTTTGGACTCTAGCTCCTTTGAGGTCTGTCCCTCTTCAAGACACCCTCTCTGCTAATGTTCTCAGCAGGCTTCCTGCTGGGCCTCCCACTATAGTCAACACCCTGTTTGGAAACCTCTGAGCTCTGTGTCTGTTTCTTCCCTTTCTACCTGATGATTTGAACAATCTACTAGCAGCAGCATGACCTGGGCCTTGTCAAATATTACTAACAATGTCAAGCACATTTTTATGAAAATCAACAAGTACTGCCCATTTTCAATGACTCCTCTTTTTATATTTCATGTTCTTACTAGGGCAAGGAAAGTATATCCTTGGCCATGGATGACTGACTGACAAGTTTTGGGAAAGGAGGTGTCAATACCTTCAGATGTGCATCTTCCCTTGTGCAGAAACTTTGCTTCGGGACGTTGACACTCATAGCTCTTTAGCTGACAGTAAGTGGGGAAGTACTTTCCACTGGTAGAACAAACTGAAGAGCCATTCTTTGGGCACTGGTAGGGAAGCTTACAAAGGCACTTTCCCTCCACACATCGTTCCCATGGGTGACAAAAAACTTTCTCACAGGACTTGTGTGTGTATTGGTTGCTTAAGCATTCTCTTATAAGGTATGTGTCTTGCTCAGCTGGCTGGGCAGGCTCAGCCTGCTGAGGCTGGTTTTCTTCAGCAGTAGAAGCTGCATTCTGTAAGGCACAAAATATGAATGAAAAAAGGAGTAAGACTAGGAACTGCACAAGAGTTCTGCAGAACTCTTTACTGACCTCAACAAAGTGTTCTTGCGTAAGCCGTTTCCTCTCTTACAAGCACAAAGGTGCTAAAAATCATTTATAGTGTATTTCCTTGTCTTCAGCCACCTCAGCTTCTTCAGTTTCTCTGAACTTTTTTCTTCATTTTGGATGATTCACCTGGTGTGATCTTCACTCCTACAGGTCTCTCACAAACGTACTCTGAACTTCAAACATCAGCTGAAGTGAACAGCAGGCTATAAATATTTTTAAGTCAGTGGTTTATAACATACCACAGCAATGGGACTGTAACCAAATCAAAATACAAGGGGACTTAAACCCCATAATAATAAAAAAATGGCACCTTTTTTTTCTGAGAGTTTTTTATTGGCTTGGTTGGCTTTGAGTTTAAATATCACCTGCAAATAGTTTTAAACTACTTAGAAGCAAGTCCAGAAATCTAAAATTAATGACTTGTTTCACTGTGTGACTGCTGAAGCAAAAAGTATCTTAAAGGAATTTAAAAATTAAGTGCCTTTCCTTATTAGCTGTTTTCCTGTATCTGGCATAGCAGTGGATTTTTAATGCAATTGCTGGTCATCACTAGTCTGCAAGATTCTGACCCTCTATCCAGCTGTCCCTAGGTGAGTGACTGCACCCACCATGGTGCAGCTCTCTGGCTGGCTGCTTTTGCTTACTCTGATCTATGGATAGGAAGAATGCTGAAACATGAAAAATATATATGGATGAACTTTGTATAAAAACGGGAGAGAAAAGTTAGTCCTGAAATGTGATTTATCAGCTTTGACTGTGTCAACTGAATCAACAGAGCTGAAGTTTAAAGTTCTGAAGAAATCCTGGCCATAGTAAAGTCAGTGGGGATGTTGTTGGGGCAGAATTTAATCCAACAAAACCCCTTTCAATGGTTGTATAATCTTACTAAATTCTTCCTGTTAGGTCAGTAGAATCCAAACTGTGAGCCAGATCCGGCTTGGCATAACTCCCATTTGTGCAAGTCATTTCTACTGAATAGGAACAAAAGGTGCTGATTTTTATCTAAGGATTTCTCTAAAAGATGTGGGTCATGCTGAATGCTTGGCCCAGGTGGGCTTTCTGGGATGCTTAGCCAGAAGTGGTTCTGCAGCAAACCTCTAGGCAGTACAGTGGTGCCATGTTAGGAGGCTAATCTCATTTCTCAAAAAAGGGAGGGCAGGGAAAATTGCAGCACTATTCTGGGGTTAACCATGTTTGCAAATTGGGTTTAGGATAGGATCATTATTCAAATCTCTTCCAGAAACCTGTTAGCATAAACCTCAGACAGAATAAATACATGAAAGAGAAATCACAAACTTCACACATTCAAGCTAGGCTACAAGAAATGTATAAAAACCAAACACTATGAAAGGAAACAAAAACCAACCTAACTGGTTTTGCTTTGTAAATTGCTTTTTAACGTTTTTTATTAATAAGAATAAAAAATTAATGTAACCAAATAAAACAAATTCTTACCTCTGATCCACAAAAACAAAAGAGAGACAAGAAAAGCAAGAAAAGTGGGACCATTCGCATGATGAAATTTGATCTTTGTAGGCAAATTCCTCTGGTCGGGATTCTTTTGAATGTCAGTTGTTAGATTAATGTTTAATTTTTAACCGTTAGTAAAATATTTTAAAGTGTGTTTAGAAACAAGGGACAGGAGCCTCAACTATTAACTGATAAATTTGATCTCTCCAAAAGGATCCTGCTGCAGTTTAACTGCTTTTACTGTAAGTGCAGACGAGATAACAAAAGTAAAGTCCCTCAAGTAAATGATTAAAAGGAAGCACACACATTTCCTTTCTTTTGCCCAGGAGACTGATCAAGTCATCATGCTGATTCTCCTGACTGTAGGCATTCCTCTTTGCCAGATTCTACTCTGCTCTTGTGAGACCCCACCTGCAGTACTGTGTTCTGCTTGTGTTGGGTCCCCACCACAAGAGGGATATGGAGCTGCTGGAGCGAGTCCAGAGGAGGCTATGAAGGTGATCTGAGGGCTGGAACACCACTCCTATGAAGACGGCCTGAGAGAGTTTGGCTTGTTCAGCCTGGAGAAGAGAAAAAGTAGCCCTGGGGAGACCTTATAGCAGCATTCCAGTACCTAAAGAAATCTGGAGAGGGGCTTTTTACAAGGGCATGTAGTGAATGGCTTTACACTGAAAGAGGGCAGACATTAAGAAGAAATTCTTCCCTGTGAGGATGGTGAGACACAAACACATTAACCAGAGAAGCTGTGGCTGCCCCATCCCTGGCAGTGTTCAAGGCCAGGCTGGACGGGGCTTGGAGCAACCTGGTCTAGTGAAAGGTGTCTCTCCCACGGCAGAGGTGTTGGAACTCGTTTTAAGGTCCCTTCCAACCCAAACTATTCTGTGATTATTGTAAAAGATAAATGTGTTTTTTATATAAGAGAGAGATGTTTTAATCTATGTGGAAACACATCCATGTTAATACCGACAAACTCATACGATAAGGTCATATTACACGATTCACGTCGGGAATTTTCAAGTACTGGACAAACACCTGAAGTACTCTTCTGACAGTCGGTTTCCAGGACACTGTGGTTAAAGCCGGCAGGACCGAAGTCTCCTCCCACCTCCCTGCATAGCCAGCAGGGGCTCACAGGCAGCGGCTCTCGCTCGTTCGCGCCGGCGGGCTTCGATAAACGCCGTGTAAGAGACGAGTCTCCATAGGCCTCCCGGCGCACCCGGGGGGAAGCGAGGCGGCTCTGAGCACCGTGTATATGGGGAATCCGCAGCCGCGAAAGGAGCCGACAACACACCGCCACCGCCCGAGTCAGACTGCCCCACAGCTACAGCAACCTCCTGCCTTTTGCGACAGTATCGCTCAGCGAGGCAGCTTCATTTACGGCAGGCAGCCCCGTTTACGGTGGTGTGGGTAGTCTCCCGGTGGCGATTTGCGGTACTAGAGGAAGTGGCGGGGCCGGCGCGCACGTGGAGGTACGGCATGAACGGGGGGAAGGGGGGGAAGCCACGCGGGACAAAGCCATTGGCGGCCGTTGGACGTTCCTCAGCCCCTCTCCTGCCCCGCAGCACTGAGGGCTGCGTCGTGCTGCGGGCGGGGGTCCCTTCACCATGTTCCTGCATTGGCATCCCTGTGCGCAGGCCGCACGAGGTGCCCCGCGGGCCCGTCAGGTGCTGTGGGCGCATGTCGTTACCGTAGAACTGTAGAATGGTTTGGGTTAGGATCCTAAAACCATCCAGTTCCCCCCGCCCCCCGGTTATGAGCAGAGACACCTTCCACAAGACCAGGTTGTTCCAAGCCCCGTCCAGCCTGGACTTGAGCATCACAAGGGGTTGTAGTGCTGCGCCGCTGGGCTGGGGCTGGAGAGCTGCTGTCTGCTCCGGGGGCTGTGGACTGTCGCCCTCAGCCCTCGGCCACTCAATCCCTGTATGACTGAAAAGCACGCTGTCACTGCTGGTCAGTTTTTACCGGTAGGCATTGCAGTGTAAGCTTGGTGTAGGCTAGGTTTTTCATGCGCCTTAGTGTTTTTGTTGAGGACTGAAAGGTCTAACTTGCATTAACAAACAGGCTCTCAGGAGACTTTAATTTGTACAGTAAAACACAATTGAAGTATTTTTTATCTTTTAAACAGCTATTTTTAGGAGGCAGTAGAGAATGTCTTTTCGTGGAAGAGGAAGTGGAGGAGGAAGAGGAGGTGGAGGAGGAAGAGGAGGCGGCTTCAATCGAGGAGGAGGAGGTGGTGGTGGTGGTGACAGAGGTGGCTTTAATCGTGGTGGACGAGGTGGCTTTGGAAGGGGAGGTGGACGAGGAGGCTTCAACAGAGGCGGATATGACCAGGGGCCTCCGGAAAGTGTAGTTTGTAAGTTACATTGAAAGGCTGTGTTTATGTACTTTAGAATGGCTGCTCCAGATCTTTAGCTTGCTTGTTCTTTATTTCAGTACTGGGAGAGTTCATGCATCCCTGCGAAGATGACATTGTTTGTAAATGTAAAACAGAAGAAAACAAGGTGCCTTATTTCAACGCTCCTGTGTACCTGGATAATAAGGAACAGATTGGCAAAGTTGATGAAATCTTTGGACAGCTGAGGGATTTTGTATCCTTCAAAAAAATGTGTGATGTGCAGTATTTTGTTTTAAAAGGCTGATTGGTCATTAAAAGGCTGATTGGTTATTAAATGGAATTTCTATAGGGTTTAAAAATAGTTGAAGGCTTGGCTACCAGTTAGATGTGAACAGTCACAAGTCTAGCTGCAACTGTTGGTGTAAGTAGGTGCCTCATGCACATTAGGTGTCTATCATAAAGCTTTTTCTGTATGATAGAGTACCTTATGTCAGTCATTACCAGTACTGGCAGATGTCTTTTGGATCCATTGTGGTTCAGGGTGTTTCTTCTTACGTGACAACAACTTTTCTTTGTATCTTACTCACCTATAACAGAGCTGGATCAAGGGACTGGTGTTTTTGTGCATTAGGGGACCTTGCTCATGCTTCAGTTTATTACTTAATTACAAAGTTGAGTTTGTGCTAGGGTGTTTTATTGCTCATTGTCCAGCTTCTTACTTAAACTGCCAGTAAAGGTGGGCTTGTGCTGAGATGTCTTCTTGCAAAGCTGGCTTGTTGAGATTGACAGAATTCATGACATAAGCGGCACAGCAGGATGTAACCCTGTAACATGTCAGTAAGGCTTAGCCTGTGTTGGGTGAGTATCAGTAACTAGGTACATACATTTTCCTCTACCACAGTAAGTGAGAAGTAAAATATACAGGTTTAAATCACTCGCTCTCTGAATGTATTAATTTGCAGATTACATTTTGTATCAAAATTACTTGGATTTCAGAGACTTGTTTTCTTTCTACAGTAATGTATTATGAAAATGCGTTACTTGATTTTGCAGTAACTCCTTGCTTCTTGAGTTTTAAGTAAGAAGAGTTGGCCAGCAGCTCTTTTGATCTTAGGAACTGTATACCAAAGTCTTTGGGTGCTGGAGTGCTAAAGGACTTCATACAATACTGCACATGGGGTTCCAGAGCGTCTGTCACCTCACTGGGATGAGGCTGGGCATATAATTGCTCCGGCAGTCCCTGCTGGCTCTTATTTTTCCACAGCCTGCCAGTCATATCACCCAGCAGCAGCACTAGCAGAGCCCCTGCAGCATGAGCCTTGAGGTCACCCTGGGTTGTTCCTTGCTATACAAATTTGCTTCTTTACAATTCTGTTTTTATGTGCTCTTTGCACGGGATGTTCTTCTTTACGCTTTAATCATGGAAAATAAAAATGGTTTTACCACAGAATACTGTTTTTTATAACTGTGTGAAAGTTCTCAGAAAAATTGCAGGTATTTGCGCCTTAATTGTAAGTTTCCATTTGCAGTGGTGACATTTAGCTTTATTTATAAAATACCAATTTAGAGAATGTTTGAATGTGCCAATCAAAATAACAAATTCATTTCTTTTTCCTGTTACGTTCCTTAAAGAAACTAACAGTATTTTTCAGTGAAACTGTCGGAGAATATGAAAGCCTCTTCATTTAAAAAAATGCAAAAGGTTAGCCAATCTCAATAACAGAATGCTATTGTATGTCATTGGTTAGATAAATCTACTCTGTTACAAGATAATGAAAGCTTTATGAAGCTTTTATTAACAGCTAGTTGTTCTATGTAAACATAAATATTAATTTCTTCTTTCTCACTTTTCTATCTGCCATGTTCTTTCTTCTCCCTGCCCTCCAAAAACCAAATGAAACTCATGCAAATATCATCTGTATTTTAGTAACTTTATAACACTGTGATTCATTTCTTGTGTTCTTTCTTTATTTGACTGTTTGCAGAGGAAAATTTGACATAAAAAGACCAAATTGTGGATATTTGTAAAGGGAGATATTAATGTGCTCTTTAGTATTTGTTTTTTCAAAGTCTAATTGAACTGTCTTCCTACAGTTTTACATTGACCCAGCAAAGCTACTACCACTTCAGAGATTTTTGCCAAGGCCACCTGGAGAAAAAGGTGCTCCCAGAGGAGGTGGTAGAGTAGGACGTGGTGGTGGACGTGGAGGAGGAAGAGGTGGTGGCAGAGGTAAGGTCTCAAGAATGGAAGCTGCAGAATGTTGTGGTTTTTTGTTGTGGGATGGGTTGTTTGAGTTTCTTTTGTTTTTTTTTTTGCCCTTTTTTGGAGGGGGTGGTTGGTGTAAAGCTGCAGTTGAATACTTTATCAACAGTAATATTGCAAAGAAAAATGTTATGCATATTCCTGTTTGACTCAATGGAAGAGACGTTGTCGCCCTTCCAATGGCAAGACCTAGGTTTCTGTAGCTAAATAACAGCTCCAAAGCATAGGGAGGAGAGTTATGCTGATACGAAACAAAGACAGAAAGCGTCTGAGCAAACTTGTGGTTAAAGGCTGTAGATAATAAACACTCAAATCTGTCAGCAAAATCTGTATTTGTAGTATGTTCTAGTCTGGACAAATACTTGAAATGCATTGTTTGAGAGAGAGGTGAATGACCTGGTAGATTTCATTCTTCTTTGCTTTTTGGAGATTATTTGCCATGTGCTCCTCAATTAAAGCTGATTTTTTTCTAACATCACAGTGTTCTGCATCTTCTCACTACTCTGCCCCTTTGCAGCAAGGCACAAGTATCTCAAAGTTGTTTTGGTTTTGTTTGTTTATTTTAATGTTCTGTTGAGTTTTAGTTAATAATTGTTAATGAATAGTTGTGATTATTTTATTTCTGTTACGAAAGAAAAGTTTTGTTAGTGTCTGGAGTATTTTGGACATGGTATACCAGATATTAAAGAATACCTAAAATGCTGCAGATGGTCCCTAGGAGAGACAAAGTACCAGTAGCTGACGTGGTAACTGTCCAGCAATTGACTGTTTTTTCTTGTTGCTGTGCTTTTCCTTTCAGAAGATGTGAATGAAATAAGTTGTTATGCTTAACAAAGAATTTATATGCTCTTCAACGTATAATTTCTTTCCTGTGTCTAGGAGGATTTGGAGGAGGAAGAGGTGGAGGAAGAGGAGGAGGGTTCAGAGGAGGAAGAGGTGGAGGAGGAGGAAGAGGTGGAGGAGGATTCAGAGGAGGAAGAGGTGGTGGAGGAGGCTTTCGGGGTGAGTGTGTGGTTTTTATATTTCAGTAGTAAGAATGGCTCCTGATTTCTAAAGTTTTAAATATTAAACAGGATGTTGTGTTTTTAATCTCTTGCAGATGTTTATAGTTTATAGTTCTCTGTAAATAGAACTATAGAATAGAACTATGTAAATA